GTGACTCTCACCACCTCTCTGCTTGCCTGCAGAAGTATGCTTTGGTTGTTCAAGGCCCTCGTGATGTGAAGAAAAAGGAACTGGTATTTTTGCAGTTTCATTTAAATGGAACAGACCAAGATTTTAGTGCCATTGACTACCTTCTGTTTTCTTCTTTCCAAGAATTCATTAACAGGTATGTAAACGGATGAGCCTGTACCTGCATTGAACTTGGTATTCATACTCTCTTTTTCACTCATGTTTATACCCTCTGTTTGTTTTGGTTGTAATGTTTGGGTTACATTGATGCTCTTTCATGTCTAAGTTTACTAATCTTAGTTTTTAGAAAATGAGGTGAGGAGATTTTCAATGACAAAACCTGCCCTTCAGGTGTCCTTCAGTCATTTGTTGCTGCAGTTCTAAAAGTTTGAAGTTTGTGCTGATTTGCTGCTGGGGGTGGTCAGGAAGTGTGCTGTCCCAGGTGGTGCTCAGCAAGGGCCTAAGCACCCTGTTCCTGTCACTTTTCTTAGAGCAATTGCTGTCAAGATCAAATCCCTTCATTGATTTGTTGTGCGTTTTTTTTGGTTTTTTTTTTTAAGATTATATTTCTTTGTATGACTGTCTTTATGTAAGATTCTATAGGCTCATGTAATTTCATAGTTGGAGTTTTCAAAATTGCTTTGTATTGTTTTGACATTGGTGCTGTTGGAGTGACTGATGAACTTTCTAATTTTAACAGGAGTGGAATGAATCCTGTCTTGAATTTTCTTGAAAGCCCCACCCTTTTCCCCACCTTGTGAGAATAAATTCCTTACTGAATTGTTTAATTTTGCATTCATTTAAATGGAAATTCTGTTCTGCTCTCTGGATCCACATTAAAAGCTAAACAGGAGACAGATACTAGTCACAGTGAGACCTAACAGAAAGGCTTAATTTGGTAATAGATACTCAGTGAAAAGAGACAGGGGATAAAGACCATATGCAGAACAAAATTAGGTGAGAGAGGGGAAGAGGAATAACAGCTGTTATCATAAGGAAGCATTCTGGAGGCTTGGACAGGATTGTCCTGGGAGTATTTTACCTCAGTACCTCTGGGTGGCCAAAGAGCCATCACCTGAATTTGCTTTTCAGAAAGCATTTCTGCTTTAAGTGAATGAGAGTTCTTACATCACTAAGTGTTTTCTGTAACTTATACTAAAGCACCTCATAAAATTCCAATGTTTGGGATATTTTAGGGTGAGAAAATACCAGTGAAGAGTAGTGATGTAGAAAGTGCTACTTGTTTCCTCTGTGTTATTTTTTTCTGAGTTTTGTGGCTTGTGCCACAGTTAGAGGTATGTTTGGTGGGACCCTTTCCAGCCAGGTGCAGGCACAGCTCTGCCTGTGGTACAGGTCAGAAGCACTGCCTGAGACCAGCCCTTGTGAAGCACAGAGCAAAAGCCATGGCTGTGTGGCATCTGGTTCCTGGCTCTTTGCAGAATGAGCCACCTTACCAAGATGCAACTTGGTCTGGGCATACTCAGGTCTTGGAACCCCCATTTCTGCACTTGTTGGATCAATTTGTAGATAAGCCATGTTAAAGACCTGTTTCTTCCCAAATTAAAGCATGTATGTCCTACTTAAGTTGGCAGCATTAAAAGCCATGGCTGTGTGGCATCTGGTTCCTGGCTCTTTGCAGAATGAGCCACCTTACCAAGATGCAACTTGGTCTGGGCATACTCAGGTCTTGGAACCCCCATTTCTGCACTTGTTGGATCAATTTGTAGATAAGCCATGTTAAAGACCTGTTTCTTCCCAAATTAAAGCATGTATGTCCTACTTAAGTTGGCAGCATTCCTGAGGTGCTGCTGTGCCCAGTGCTTATGCCGGGTTGTGCAGAGGCAGGTTAGCCGTGCAGGACAGCTGGAAGCAGTGCTGCAAAGGGCCTAGCTTCAAGACTGTTTGTGCCACTGCAGAGGAATCAGTAAGAGCCATTTATAAGCTGCCTGGGAGAAACCTGGATCACAACCTCCTACCTCCTGGTCTGTCAGGTGGAACAAGTTAGGTGGCAGAACTGACCCCTGAAGAGATGGGGAAGTGTCACTTTCTTCCTGGAGAAGCTGTCTCCTCTCAGTGTTGGAAGGCACCAGAACTGAAGCTGGGAGAAGGCTGAGCTTGGCTTCTGTTCAGAGCAAAGGAAGAAGTTAGGAAATGGTGGTGTCTGTCTGGGGCTGCATCCTTTGTGCCTGTTTGCAGCAGGTAGTAGGAATGCAAGTTAAAACTGATCTTGAACTTATCCAGATGAGAGTGAAATTGGCAAAAGTACACAGGCCTTACCTGCAGTGAGAGCCAGTGGTGTGCAAGAGCCCAGTAGTGTCTCTCCTGTAGCATTCTCCAGATCTTGGTACAGATGGGTGGCTTGTCTTGCTCAGTATTGTGTATTCTGTCCTGATGTCCCAGGGCCTGAACTGGAGAGGCTCAGGGCAAGTTGAAATGTTTTTTTTTTCCTCCTGACTATGAAGTGCCTGTGAAACCTCATGCGTATATGGAATGTGCTCATTCTGTCCAGTGTCCAGCAGAAGAGAAAATAGAAATGATTTTGGGTTCATCAGTAGATGCTAAATTTAGTTGATGAGAAGTCTGGACTAAGATAGCTGTAGAAACTGTTCTGTGTCCTTCCATATGGCCTCTAAAATCAGTAACTGGCTGCTGTTAACCACTTTTCCTAACAAAGTGTCTTGCTTAGTGGTTATGAGAGTATACTTTTAGCACTGTGTCCAGCAATTCATGTAAAGTGCCATCAAAGATGCTGAGATGTATGCTAAAGCTTGTGAGATATTGTAGTTAGAGGTTTTTTTGCCATGGCTGCAAACAGCTTACGTTGTGCTGGGCAGCAGACTGCTATAAAATATACATGTAGGTTATTCCATCATCTTAAATCACAACTCAACCCCCCCTGGAATTGGTGAGAAGAGTCCTGGTGCACCTACATCAGACATAATCCTTCCTGTGTAGGCAGGATTATGCACAGCTCACTTTAGCGTTAAACAGCAACCATAGTATCAGTGAAGGCCACTGCAAACATCAGCAATAATAAAAATGGCACATCATAGAGAATTGGATCTTTCAAGGGTTTTTTGAAGCCTAGCAAGTGGTGAGGACTCAAGTAAGGTCCAGTTGTTTCTGTCAAGGGTTTTATTCTTTGCAGCTCTTCTGTTAGAATTGGATGGACAGAGTATGTGAGGCTGGCACTGCTTGCTGGTGTTGTTCTGGCCTTCCCAGAACACTGCTGGCTGTGTGCTGCTCTTGGCCTGTGTGTTGGAGGGGTACTGCCACTGGATTTCTGCTTTTTTGGTTTTTTTAAGACAGTGGCAGCTGCTGTCTATGCCATATTAATTGGAGGGAAGGAAATAATTAAACCCTTACAAATTAAAAAAAAAAAAGTGTAACTAAAAATACAGATTGCTTTCCTGAGCTCTTCTTAGGATAATACATGTGTTTAAGAAGAAACCCTCTGAATGGGTTACTGACTAGACTATTGTTAGCATAGTGTGTAAAATAACACACAGTCATGTGAAATGATGAATACCAGCCTGAACAGGTCAGAGATTATTTAAGGCTCTGATCAGAGCTCCATGTGCATGTCTCTGGTCTGGATTGCTGTGTGCAGAGAAATAAATTAGCACATGGAAGGGTTGAGACTCTTGGTATTGCAGCATCTGAGCCTTTATGAGATCCCATGGCTGCCTGAGAGTTTGCCAGTCTAGGGAAGAGCAAAAGCAATAACCATGAATTGGGTTTGACTGGCCTGTGGTTTTGGCTCTTGCTGCTGCTTTGGAATCTGCTGGTGGGATGTCCTCAGCTGCCTGTGGCTGTTATGGGTTGGTCCATAGAGATTGCTGGTGTTGGAAGGATCCACTGCAGTGCTGCAGCCCGGGCCAGAACTGGGTTAGGAGCTCCCAGCACTGGGACACACAGAGTCTCCAGTGGCCTGCTGTTGATCAGGCTGTGCTGGGGCAACGGGCTCCCTTAGTTCAGGCTCTTGGTGGTGACCAGGGAGCATTGGCTGGGAGGAGACCAGGGCTTTGTAGTTCACCCTCAGTGAGAGAGTGGCACTTGTCTCTTCTTGCTGGGATGTAGGAATTTTTGCATGGTCTTGAGGGACCATTAATACCCTGGGAGAGCCTGGTGCAGCCTATTCCACTGGTCTGACTGCACGTCTCAAGGACAGACAGTGTCACAGCTAAAAGAACTTGCTGAACAAAAATAAAATAATATGCAGCCTTTGGAGGTTTTCTGTCTTTGGGGTGAAGAGGTAATTAAAAGAAACTGCCTGGATAATCACTCTTCAGCTTGAAGTCTCTTGCCTGCCTTGTGTTCACTTAGGTGTGTGTGGTTTTTAAGCAGGGTTATTTGTCCTCTGCTGTCATTTGTGCAGAGCTTGTGTGTCTGCTCTGCTGCCCTCCTGGCCTTTTTCTCCTGACTCTGTGGCAGTGGTCTGGCACATGCAAGGAGATGCCTTCTCAGATCACTTCTCTGCAGCTTCTCCTAAGATGTTATTAATCTTTCAAGCCTACAATTACTGCTGAAGTCAAAGCCTGCTTCTGCTGCCTGCTGACGTGTAAGTTGTGGCTGTATGCTGTGCCATAACCTCCTGCCTCAGCTTTTCCACAGGGGTTTGGAAAGCTTTTCTAGGATGCTGTATTTAGTCAGGCATTAGGCATATGACTGGCTGGCAGAGTGCTAATTCTATATGTTCCTCTGAGTGGCAGAGCATTGTGCTCTTCCACACTGTTCCAACAGCTACTGCTGCACCTACAGGCTGAAGAGGCACAAAATCATCCTCAGATGAGGTCTCCCTGTATCACTGGTTTGCACGGTGAGGAGCAGTCAGGCAGTGGGTGGGCTTTATTCTTGCCCTTTGTCCACGTCTTCTGGCAGGGGTTACAGAGGTACACTGCCATTCTAAACAAAAGATACATGGACATATGTTACAAAGAGACAAAGATACTCCTACCTTGCTAAAACACTCCTGGAACGTTCTCTGTGTTGATGGGTGGCAAACTGTGCTCGTTCTCTCCAGAAACACATCTCCTTTCTTTTTATATACAGAGTGGAGTTCTGTGCTTGAGTCCACCACCTGAAGCCCTGACTTGAGAGCAGTGCCTTTGTTGGGTTTTGCCTTCCTATGAACATGGGTTCTCATCCATTAAGCCTCAGCAGGCAATATAGCAAAGTAGCCATCAGTATCCTTTTGTCAGTACCCTTTTATCAGTGTGTGCTTCTTCTGTCTTGTTTGTAGACAAGGCACCCTGGTTTGTAAGAAGAAAAGGAGCCCCAATTCTGAAAACTGAAGTAAAATACAGGAAAAGTGCAAATCCACTCAGTGCTAGCACAGCACAAATCTTTCTGAGTGGTCTGTTCTCTGGGAGAAGAGCTTGCTGCTTCTGCTCTGCGTTTTTTCTTTACCTCTTAACATTTTTCTCCTGAAAGACCAAAATCTCTTAATCAGCTCCCAACAGACCCAGTCATGCACACACCCTCTGCCATACAAGCAAAGTATACTTGTTCCCTTCACCTAGGAAGATGGGTTTAATCCATGTCAAAACCCTTTCCCTTGTCTCACAGATACATCCCTGATGTATCTCTGCAGCCTGAATTCTATCTTAGTAAAAATCAGCAGCCTTTGCTTTAATGGTTCAGGACCCATCACAGTGTTTTACCTGTTGATTTCAAATGAAACCTTGTTGAAAAAGCAGCTGCATAGCCAGGCTTATTTTGTAGAGATGACATGAAAGTGGCTAAAATCACTACTGAGTGATTTTATCAAGTACTGAGGAGCTCCAAAGAAATAGTGTGCTTAGTTCACTGTGTCCTGTGCAACTGGTAGAGAAAGGATGTAGGCCAGATGTGCCTTAGATTTACCTCCTTATTTATGTTATTTACCTCTTTTACCTCACAGCATGGCAGGTATTGGAAATCCACTGTGGCTTGTGGTCGTGATATTAAAAAACCTACACAAACCAACCCTGCTGTTTTGGGGCTACAAATACCTGTGATTGCACACTGAGAAAACAGCCTTGTTAGTGCAGGTGGGAGCCTTACACCAAGGGTATAGTGCTTCCAAAATAATGGGAATGCACTGAATGTAAATTTCAAAGCATTTTAAGTATGTGTGCATTTGCAACCAGTTCATGTGCATCCTAGAGCTGGGGTGAAGTAGCCTGCCCTGCTTCTAGGTTGGTCCTTCCATCTTTTGCTCCCTAGCACCATGTGAAGTTCCTGGGGCCCTGGCTCTGCTGCTTTCTGTCCCAGAGGTGACAGAGGAGCAGAACGAAGCTCCCCTTGTAAGGCAGAACAGTCCCGAGGGGCAGGCAGGGCTGGGGGCTGGTAAGGAACCAGGTAAGTCTTCTGCAGTCAAGAACATGGGCATGTAAGAGCTGCTGCTCATCAGAACATCACTCCATGCACCATTTTAGATATGCTGAACTTTAGCCATTGAAACAGTGGAGGGAAGTGTGCAGTGCCTGTAGGTCTGGCCTTCTCTTGCCTACAGTGCTCAGACACCACTCTGAGTTCGGTCAGTAAAGTCATGGTCTTTTTCTTTCAGTCCAGAAAAAGCAGAGTTCATGAAGGACTGTGAGAGTTCATACTCCAGATGGAAGTTTTCTGGAGGCTTTCGAACTTGGGTCAAGATGTCCTTGGTGAAGACAAAAGAAGAGGATGGTAGTGAGACTGTCGAATTCAAACAGGAGGTAAAAAAAAATTCATTTCTCAGGAAGGCTGTTTTGGGACTGCTTAGTTTAAGAACTAGTTACTGCAACAGTTTTTGTGATAACTGGCCAACAGAACCAGTTCTTGGGGCAAATAGCAATATGAGTTGGAAGAAAGGTGGGTTAGTTGTTTAAGAGAAGTCTCGTGAGCTTGGTCTGTGTTTCATTGCCTCCATTGCATCATTTGCCATTGAGCAGTTCTGGCTGTACAGTTAGTTCCATTCTTTCCCAACATGGGGAGATTCTGTGAAAGCAAAATGTCTTGAGGTGTGGCCAGCTGTTGTTATAGCCTCATGAGGCATCTCAGGAGAACACCTGGGAGGCCAGAAAGTCCAGGTTTTGAACATGTTACAGGTGACACTTGTAGTCTGAGGTAAGAGTCCAAAGAGACCAACATAAAAATATTAATACAGCTACTTTTAGTTCAAGGTGGGGAACAACTGCCAAAGGAATTGTCCAAATAGCTAGTATTGAAAGAGGTGTTGCTTAGCTTACTGCAAGGGTGGATGTTGGACTGAAGGAGGTAAATATAAGCCTTGTATCCTTTGTAGCATTCTCATGTTTGCTCTTTGTTTGGGTCTGAGATTTTTAGGTGTTGAGAATTCTTAGAAACATGGAGTAACTTAAATTAATGCATCATTTAAAACTAGAAAATATGCACATAGAAGAAGGAAACTTAACTGGAGACGAAAAGAGTTTGACTTTCATGCCTGTTCTGTTCACATTAATGAACAGGAAAACAGTTATGTTTTGAGTTTTTCATGCTCCTAGTGTTGGTTGAAGAGGGTGTCATCAGTGGTGAGGAATGCAAATTTTAAGAGCAGTCCTTTCCAGAGACTACACCTTCTCTTAGTCCACTTTATGGAGGTCAAAATGAAGCAGAATCTTCAGTTCTCCTATCTTTAATTCTCACAGTTAGGACATTACATGGCAAAGCCTTAATGGAAGAGCAGAGCTGTGACTGTGAGGTGGGTACCCTCCTGTTCCCCTGGAGGAGAACAGAGGCAAATTCTAGAGTTGTGCAAGTCTGAAACTAATGCCTTAGTTCAGAGGAGGGAAAGGTCAGTCAGCTACTGCCATGAAAGCACTAACAGCAGTTGTCTGTCCTTCATCACCTTTATCTCTTCCTGTGTGGTACTTACCAAGTGTAGGAGTTTTGAAAGTTCTCCTGTGTGTGCCCACATCTAACATGTCTCAAAGTGGAAACAAAAAACTGACTGAAACTCAGAAAAATATTGGCTTTTTGTGCCCATGAACATCCATTTAGTCCAGCAGTTATGGACTGTCTAGTCATCTGGATAGGTGAAACCTGTGTTGGCTTTTTGGTTTGGTTTTTGTGGGTTGGTTTGTTTGTTTTTAATAAAACCCAGGAAATTCCTAGGAAATAGGAATCGGTACAAATGCGAATGTTGAGTTTCAGATCCCTATTAATAAGACAGTAGAAGGTGGAGCAGCTCACACACGTGTGGCACTTGCTTTGTTTGCCAGTACCATGTCTGCTCAGAATGCATAAGGAAGTCCACTGGCCTGTCAGACAGAGAGGTGGAATGTCAGAAAGAGGGACACAAACATGAGGTCAGACAGCACAGGTCAGGAGCCTGGTGACTAGCCCAGCAGTCATTACTTTGTCTTGATTCTTTCCCATGGCCTTCATTTAGCTTTGAGTACTGCTTGGTTTCCTGGTGTGGGGTTTTTGGGAGGTGTGTAGCTGTGATGATTGTATGCTGCAGGAACGAAAGGAGCTGTACGAGTAGAAGGCTGAGGCTGCAGCAAAGGTGTGTGACCAGGGGATGTGAGGTGCTGAGCTCCTGTGTGCTCTCACTGGACAGTGTTCCAGCTCCTGCTTCTAGGTGTTTGCAGCCTAAAACCTGATCAGGGCAGGGTGTGTGGAGAAGACATAGAAATCTTGAAGTATTTGTAAACAAACTAATCTGTGGTAGATGGGAGGTTGTGTAGTAGGCCACCCTTCATGTAATGAGGCTGCTTGTAAGGTGGTGAAAATTGGAGACTGTGTAAGGGCTTTCTGTCACTTCAGCCTTCCTCTACCTGGACCAGCAGGTTCCCAAAATACGGAGAAGGGTTTCCCCCATCTGCCTCATGTTCCTCTCACAGCCCTGAAATGAAGTGACAACACTGCTGAACTCATTCAGTACAGCATTAAACTAATGTAGGAAGAAAAGCAGCAGTCCCTTGGGCACACACCAAGCTGTTAACTACTGCTTTGAGGGCAGAAGGGAGAGGTCCATCCATCACTTGTTGAGCTGTAACTCCAGCGTGCCTCCCTGTTGGTTAACTGGCTCTTGAGCAGTTTATATTGTCTCTTAGCAGCAGGGGGGTTGGTGCAAACCATGCTGTTATTGCCTGCCTACAGATCCCCCACAGTTCCCTCTGAGCTTTGGGGGGGGTGTTACACAACAACATAAATGGTTTTCTGAGGCCTGATGTCTTAATACTGTCCTGACTGTGGTTTAAGTGGTGAAGACTGTGGTTTCATGTGGCTGTGACATTGACCTGGCATCTGAAGCTGGACCCTGGTGAAATGGTGCTAAAGCTCTCTACCAGTCAGCACTGGTTTCATATGGCAACCCTGTTAATGGGCAGTACTGGGGAGTATGGTTTTAATTGTTAACATCTGGGCTTCTTTCCCATCCATTTTCATCCTGCACTTCCTGGATCTTCTAGTTTAATCTACAACTTTTTTTTTTTTTCTTAAAAAGTGTTTTCCTGCCAGCATTGTGTAGTTCTCTGGTAGATAAAAGTGACTGAGCATTCATTCATGAGAACTTTCCAAATGCTGAATTCCACCAAGGAAATAAACTTTGTAAATGAAATTCCCTTCATTGAAAGGGAAAAACTATGCACTAAAATAAAGGCCCTGGCTCCCAGTGTAAAAATGGTATTGCAGGGTTTTACTGAGAAATAGGGAAAGAATATGACTGTGAGGCAGGTGGAGGAAACTGCCCTTTCCATGTTTTGGGAGCCTTTCCATGTTTTGGGAGCCTGTTGCCCCAGGTAGAGGCTGAACTGAAGTCCCTACAGCTCTGCTGTTCCCACCTTCCTGCATACCTCTTGTGCTGCACACAAGTCTCATTACAGCACTGAATAAACTAACCTGCAGATTGGCTTTTGTTCCTTCCCCCCAGACCAGCGTCGTTAACTACATTAACCAGAGAGCTAAACCAAGAAGTGACCAGCTGTTTTTTGTGGTATTTGAATGGAAAGATCCTTTTATACAGACTGTTCAAGATGTGAGTAAAACCCCACTCCTTTTTTTGAATTGTTGCTGGACTGTACACCAAAATTTATTCCAAAAATGATTCCAAAATTTGGGTTTAAGCAGTAATTTTATATTCAGTAATTTATATTCTGCAGAGGTCAAGACCATCTGATGCCTTTCTATGGCCTGGTGACACTTGGCATCCTGTTTGCAGCTAGAGGTCCATGTAATTGAGAAAAGGATGTCCCTGTGTTTCTAGCAGAGTAGCTTCAGGCCAAGGCTGAATTTTTTGCTTAAGTGTGCTTGGAGAAACTGATTTCTTGACTTTTAGTCATCAACAAGCAAGGAACCTAGGCTTAAATCATCATCATAAAAATAGCATAGCATTTTGGTACTGCATTCAAACACACTAAAAGCCATTTAGAATTGAGCTCAGTCTGCTGCAGCCAGAGGTGGGTGATGTACCTGAGAAGCCCCTGGCGTGCTCAGGGGTGTGCTGCAGGCACAGGCACCTTCTAAGCAGGTGAACTTGTTTCACGAGCACTAACAAACACTGCAAGCCTGTGTAAGACCTCCTGGCTGGGGTGGTGACCAGGTGGCACTGTGCTCAGGCTGGCTGTCAGGAGTCCCAAAGCTGTGCATTGCTCACTGCTGCCTGAGCCCAGCCCTGCTGGCCTCCCCGAGACCCCTGGAGCCACCCCTGTGCCCAGCGGGGCCAGGAGACCCGCCAGCTACACAGGAGGTGCTGCTTCTGGCTTTGCCTTCTGCAGGACCTTCTTCAGTGTGACTGCTTGTTACTGTAAATCTCTATAGCTAATTTTAACATTAAATAATGTAGTAAATTAACTTTTATCTGTATTAGTTTTAAACAATTCTATCCTGAAATAGTCTAAAAATAATTTATCAGCTAGTACAGTGTTTTTTCTTCCTGGCAAAAGCAGAAGAAACGTGGTGTGAGGCAGGCGTGTGGAGAAGGTGCTACAGCTTAAAGCTGTGCAGCCTAAAGGAGTAGGCTGCAAAACACCAATGGAATTGTTTGTTACTGAACAGGTCTAATGTACACTGAGTAATATTTTTCATCTCTTTCAGATAATCACAGCAAATCCCTGGAACATGATTGCTCTACTTTGTGGCATCTTTTTGGCTCTGTTTAAGGCAGCAGACTTTGCAAAGTTAAGCATTAAGTGGATGATTAAAATCAGAAAGAGACATCTGAAGAGGAGGAGTCAAGTAATGAACCACATGAGCTGAGGCCATGACTGCCTTTTAACCATTCACAGCAGAAGGGACAGAATGTAACTGGAATAAACTTTGATCAGCAATACAGCAGTTAAAGATGCAAACCAGGTATGTTTTCTTCAGGAAAAAATGATGGCTGGAGGAACAGCATAGTGACCCAGCCTTTGAACTTCAGCAAAGAGCTAACTCTAGGACAGATCTAACAAACTTATGCTTTTTTACTCCAAATTTAACAAGCTTACCTCAACATATGAGGGTACCAAGAAAGAAGAATTCACTAACCTTCAGAAAGTCAACACTGGAGTGGCTGAGTTCTGAAACAACAGACAGTGTTTGAGTGCTTCTTGGCACAGGAGATCATGTAACTTGTGCAGAAGGTGTGGCCTGCACCTGCTGCTGCTAACAGGTGCTTAGTGGAAGGGAAAGCACTTGACAAAACAGTCTGGCCTCCCCTCTTCAAAGAATGCCTTAAAACAAAATACACTGGAATTCTATTACATGTCTTTTTTCATTTAAAGTATATTGACCTTAATATTAAAAAAATACTCAAGATATTGTGTACATTCTTTGAAACCACCTGCCCTCAGGTTTAGCTGGAGCTGTATAGGAGGTAGTCCAGGCAGGAGTGTTAGGGCAAGATTATTAAGTAAAAACACCAAACATCTATTCCTGGTCAGTCCAAAGTGAACTCAGGCAGCCTCAGTACCTGGGCATCGGGGCTGCTGGTGGAGTTCAAAGCCTGTCTCAGGCTGTTGCTCGTCTCTCTTTGCCCCAGTCTTTGCTGCAGAAGTGTAAACCAGTCTTTCCTCATCCCGCTGGTCGAGTGCAGCTCTCTGTGCACGCCAGCTATGCCCACTGTGGTGTCCATCAGCATCTTCCTTCTCAGCCCAGATGCCTCTCTCAGAGCTGTGGAGGCTGCAGGGGAGCAGCACACCGCTGGCTTGGCTCTGAAGGCTTTGGGGCAAGGGAAGGAGCATGGCAAGTCATGACTTGCTGCTTCCAGCTACTACAAATAAAGTATTAATATAGAAGTAAGCATATCAAAAGTCCCCCCTCATCCTTTCTTTTGCCTTTCAAGGAAGCATTTTGGAAGAAAGTTTACAACTTCCAGCTGATTTCCAGAGCATGCCAAGGCACTGCATTAACTGAAGACAGCCTTAAAGAAGGGAGCACCAGCTCACTGCAGTAAGAAAAGCCAAGCAGCTCCACTGGCTGCAGGCAGGGAGGCAACACACAGGTTCTTCTGTACCCAGACAGGTATGGGCAGGAGGAGGTCACAGCCTGCCACTCTTGTCCAGGTCCAGTGCTGGAGCTTCCAAGGAATCAGAATTTGAAGGGTGGAGTCTGGGGTGACTTCATCACACTCAAAAAAAGTTTGGCTGCAGGAACAGGCAGTAGCCAGTTAACATTTTCTGTGCAGTGTCTGGCACTGATGGCTCCTAAGCAGGTCCCAAGGGCCAGTGCTGCCCCTGCCTCAGGTGAGGTAGCTGGCACAGCACATAGCCAGTGAACAGTCTAACCAGAGGGGAGCAGCCAAGACCAAATATGGCACTGTGGAAGCAGCTGGTGGAGAGCTTTGGTGGTGTAGCAGGGGCAGGGATTAATAAAAATAAACACACCATCCCTGTCAAGAAGAAGCCCTTTGATTTTGCTGTATAACAGCTTGTTCTGGTAGGAGAGCATTCCAGTGACCTCTGGGGTGAGCGTGCAGCTTTCTGCTTTCCCAGATAGACTGCTGAGGGGTGGGCCTGCAGGTGCACACAGACTCCTCCCTCACAGAAACACCTGAGTGCTCCTTCAACACAGGATAGGACAGCAGCTAGTTCCTGGGTTTTACAAAAATTCAGAAACAACAGTTTCATCAGGCACTGATGCATCCCTACTGCATTTTTTGGGGTGTTTTTACTAATGAGGTTAGAAAAGGGAAGTTGGGAAGGCAATGTAGCCCCAGCTCTGGGGTTAAATAAAGGTTGCACTGCTTTCCGCAATACTTTAATGAAATGTAATTAATTGTTAATTAATTTATTAATATTTATATTGGTTATTATTTAATGTATATAAATTACTTTGAAAAAATAAAATTCCCCTAGTAGTCAAATTCAGTCACTACAAGGAAGTGCAAGTAAGTAAGTGCCAGACAAGAACCCTTTCTTTTATATACCTATTTACAGGAATAATTCTAATAGCAGCTATTGCACAATTCCTTTGAAATGGCCTGTACAGCTCTTGCCTTGTTCTTCTATTACTTTTTCTTAATGTCTATATTAATAAATTTTAAATAACTTGAAACAATTCCAAAAGCCAGTAATATGGTTTCTGTACCACCACAGGGTAAGACATTCTCCAGTGTAATTTATTTCCTTTAGACTGAAGGACAGCTGAGAATATCTTGCAGTGCAAACTGGAGAAGGGCACAGAGGTGACCCCCATGTGCCTGGCAGTGCCTCCTCCTGGGCTCACCTCACACCCCTGCGGCTCCTCCGCGTCTGACACGCCAGAAGCACCACGAGCAGTGAAGAATGTTCTGCCCCCCATGATTCTGGGCAGCCACCTCCCACAGCAGACTCTTTGGTCAGCTGATGATGCCATCTTTTTATATAAACACTGACATGTAGCAAGTAGCAACTAATGGGTTTGGTCAGCCAGAGCTACTGGAAGCACAAGGTACTCCAGGCAGCGCTATTCCCATTTCCTCTGCAAACCATCGGCTGAAGAGACAGAAACGAAGCAACAACAGTAGTGTAATAAAGACTCAAACAATGTAGCAGAGACTCTCCCCCAGGAAACTGCTTGAATAACATCAGCAAAGCAGCCAAGCAACAGGTAAGAAAAGCCCAGGACACCTGCCTTGGCTGTTTGGACCACTAGAACAAAGCCTTCCACCCTGCTCCCAGAAATGAAACCCCAGCAGCCTGCACCTCCAACGCTTCTGCCACTCAGAGATGTGGGAGGCTGTTTGTAGAAGCCATGCTAATGCTCCTGGTCTTCACAAACACAAAAAGGTGATATACAGCACTAAATACAAACATAAAGGCTTTATTGAATGCTGCTCAATTCCCCAAAGATCTTTCATTACAAAAGTTTTCCACACAACTGCAATTTAAGAGATTGGAATGGTACTCTGATAAAAGATGTGAAAAATACTTGATCAAGTAAACAGACAAGACTTTTATTGTCACCTTGCTGCCTTTAAGAAACAGGCTGCATTTTCTTTAAATAAAACAAGGAACTCTTTCTTGACATATTTCCCTCCTTACTTAAAAAAAAAAATCCCAATTTTGGTCTCATTCTTCAGTCTGTGAGATGCTAAAACTAATGCAGAAACATCTAAGGTAGTCTCTCAGTGACCTGCACAACTCTGTGACAAGTCCTTGGACTGATGAGGAGCATCATTGATGGGCTCTCTAGAGGAAGCTCCATCCTCAGCTGCAGCAGGAAGAAATCTCTAAGCAGCCCAGAACCAACAGGCAGCAAGAACAGGGTAGAGGCACTCACCAAGCCTTAGGCTGGGTGCACAGACCACCCCAAGCTGCTCAAGCTGTCTCCCTCTCTCCCTGCTTTGCCTCTTTCTTCCATGGGCACCACATAAATCTAAATCTGAGTCCAATCTGGAATTCAAGGACAGCACCATATCCAAGTTCCTTTCAGTGCTGTAAGGGCCATATACCAAGGATCTCAAGTTACTGGTAACGTACCTTGGTTTTATTTGAGAAAATACAGCAGAACTAGAAGCCTTTTCTATCTTCTTAACCAAAGTATGCAGCAATGTGAAAAGCACATATAAAACAAGGAAAAAATATACATAGCAAACTATACCACCTATGTGCAACACAATCAAAAATTCAAGTCATAATCCTCACCACTCCCGTAATTATTTCACTCATTAAGGATGATAACTCGGTTCCTATAAAACATTGGAAGTGACAATATATCAATAATTAGACAAATTTACAATATGCTGTGGTAATGACATCACTTAATTCCTGTATTTAAATTCAAATCTTTACATGTGCCAGAGGAAAAAACCTGGCTGTTTCTATTATAGTAATAAGGTTTCTTTTGCAAATCCTTACAGTTCCAAAGGTACAAAACAGTACATCTGCCGAGCAGAGGTGGTGATTGACTTCCTTTATTTGGCACTTGGACTGTGTGCATTGAGCACGCTGTGAGCGCTGTTCTGCTTCTCTGCCATCGCCTTCTTAAGCTTCAGCTCCTCCAACTTTCTCCACAACTCTTCACGTTCCATCTCTTTCTTTTTCTCTCTGCAGAAAAGAGTCAAGTACATCTTGTAATTCCTCTTAAGTTTTCCTCCAAAGCTATTTTTAGGCTATGGTTTCCTCTATGAAAAAGCAAGCACACAACTTGGTAACAGTTCATGGTAAAACCCTACCTCTGTTCAGCACACTGTGACAATGGCCACACTGTGGCTTTGCACAGGCAGCTGCAATTGAAGGAGGTTCTTTATCACATGCAAACAAATTAAGAGATGAAGCATTTCTGGGGGGAAAGCATAGCTGCTGAAAGAGGGCATGGCACGTAGTCCCAGCTGGCCTAGGATAATCTCTACCCTGCCCCCTTCCTCCCCTCTACTCCCACAGGAGGGCTCAGGAGGGTGAGAGGGGGTTCTGCTGAGCTATGCAGTATTCTCCAGCTCAGCGTTTTCAGGCGACGTCCCTTGAAGGGCCAGGGCCAGCACTAGTGGCCCTGCACAGCAGCCCCCGAGCCCTGTTTTCCACCCAGGAGGAGCACTGGGGCCAGAGCCTTCCTGGCACATCCTGGGCAACGCTGACCCCCCACAGTGCTGCACCCATCGCACGAGCAGCTCCACCACAGACCCACACAGCCACAACAGGCACGTTCTGTCTCTATGCACCCACAACGTACCAGCTGGAAATTCACCAGCATGCATTTGGAAGAAGGAGAGTCGGTACCTTTGCCTCTCTGCTTTGTATGAGCCTGTGAGTTCATCGAACAGCTTGCCATTCATCTCCATCAGGGTCTTCAGCACGTTGTACACCAGCGCCACGATCGTCCTGCCGCAGAACACACCCGTGAGAACTACTCAAACAGCTCCATCAGACAAGTGCTCCATTTCATTTTTAGACTCAGCTACTTATTTAAGATACTTTTGTAAGTATCAGTGAGTTTCTGAAACAAAGTCATTTACTATAATTTCCCCTGAAAAATTAATAAAATGCATATTTAAACCCTTTTTTTTAAATGGCTATTTACCCTTAAATTCTTGACTCTTGTCATTGCACAGAATATAATTTTTCATACTGTGGCTGTGCTATAAAGCCATTCAATTGTGGTAACAATTAACTAAGTTGTAACAACAATTTTGTAATATTTGAGTAATGAAATACAAAAGCCTAGAAAAATCAAACTTCTGGCTAATAGTTTCAAGACTGGGCAAAAGAATGCAGCAGAGGAACCTTCCAAGGCACATGGTTTACTACAGCTGCCAAAAGCTCTACCAAAAGTGCTTCTGGGCAACGGGCACTTTTGCTGCTTATGCCCCATTAGGGAACTGGACTTGAGATCATCAGATAATGATTTCAGTATGGCTTGGGCACCTCCCAGCTCCTCAGAGGACTCAAATGCAGCCACCAAACACAACATGCAGGACACTCAGCCTGCCTACAAACCTTTCATTTGGATTTTGTTTTTTTCCTTGAACCTCAGCTTTCATATGGTTTGAAGACAAAAGCTTATGCAGGGTTTTGGGTTTATGAGAGGAAAAGCTTGATATTGAGCAAGTCTTTTAAGTCCATATCAAGCAGCTGGATGGACACAACCACATTTCTCTGCCCTCCAAAACAGACTGAAAACAAAGTGTTAAGACTTTCTTCCCCAAGCTTCCATGTCCTCAAGGTATACAATTAGCCTGTGTCTTTCACTTCCTTCATAAACAGCAGCTTCAGACTGCAGCTAGGGAAAG